GGGCTGGAACTCGATGATCTTTAAGGTCTCTTCAAACTCTAACCACTCTATGAAATGCAGAAGAATCTTGTTCCCTCAATAGGGTGGATGGGTATTTTGGGAATTAGTACCTGATTTGCGGGAAGAAGGTTGAATTTTTTCTCAGTGGTGTGACGGCTTTTATGCTAGACTGTCTAAGAACAAGAGACGAGGGACTTAAGTAACCCTCAGAGCAGTTCCTAAACACGTTTCCCTTTCAAGAAAGGGGAAGTAGGTTTTCATATCACCCTGGAGGAAAGCACTTCCCATGCATTGCCCTGACCACCCCTTCTGTGCTGGCGTCATGGGAGGAATTGTGCTAGGAAGTTAGCACACCCACATCTGCTCATCAGATACCAAGAAAAAAGAAGTGTGTAAATGTTAGTTTTGTCACACAAGCCAATCTCAAGAGAAATATTCCAGAGAAAAAGCTAATCAGTAACCTGTACACAGCAGGAAAATATATAGAAGTAGTAAAAAGTAATTTTGTAGTTAAGACTGCAGAAGGCTGTGGTCTCAGAAAGTGGGGATATCTCTGCCTGCCTTGCCTGCACAGGCGTATGGGTTTGATGTATGGAACAGAGGTATACCAGTCTTGAAAAGAGGCTGGATAAATGTAGATGCCCACACCCGAATGTTAGTGCCAAAACCAAATGTGATCATCACCTGCATAACTCAGGGTTCTCTGTTTTGGGCCCGAGAGGTCTGTGCTGCTCAGGCTCAGACGTGCCCAGGTCTGAGTCGCTGAGTCGCTGAGTGCCCATCTCAGCACTGTTTGCACCCAGAGACTGGGTGGCTTGGGTCCAAATCCCCTGAAGCATGGGTAGCTGGAGGGCTGCTCTGTGGCCACCTGAAGTACAGGGCAAGCCTGTCACTGAAGGCAGCTCCGTCTCTGCATTGCAGAGCACACAGATCTGCTTTTGCAGTGCAGACAGAGATGTTCCTTGGCCATCTCTACCTGCTAGGTATGCCAGCGGTACCCAGGCTGTGGCTGCCCCACGCTGCCCCTCTGCCTCCTGCCAGGGGTAGGATGGCAACCAGCAGAAAAGGTGGCTGGAGTTGGTCCCTAGCTGGCATAGAGCCCATTCCTACAACACTGGGGACCTGCAGCTCTGGCTCTGACTCCCTGCTAGCAGCACACCACCTCTCTCTCTGCACCAGAGCTGTGTCGGCTCCTTTGGCATCGGGGCAATGCCTCGGGAAGGGGCTCAAGAGCTGAGCTGATTTGCGGGTTGAACTTTGTAACTTGCTCTGTAACTCAGGAGGGAGTCCTAGGGAGGGGGTGGCATTTCGGGTGTGCATCTAGGCATCTAGGCTTCTCTGTCAGGCATGCTCCAGCCTCAGTATGCTGGAGGGCTTTGACTCACCCTCTGAAGACCTCTAGTCCTCCCCACATGATATATAAGGAACCTGCCTCATGCTAGGTTTTGGATTCTGTTTTATCAACACATACTTCATCACAATACCAAAACTGAGGGGTGTCTAACCACTCTGTTCGTTTGCTGAGGAACCAGAGCCTGAATTCATCAAGGCAAAGGAATGAATAGTGTAAGAGTTTAACCAAAATCCATGTAGGAAGTGTTTGTGAAACTACGTTTTCGTTTCCTCTTTCAGATTTATTTCTCTGACAATGAGTAATGCTTCAGGAGTTGCTGTGCCTGGTCTCCTTTAGAGACTTTAGCAATGCTCTCTGCCGTGCTGCAAGGAAGCCTCCCGTTCTCTGAGGCATCTATTCCTTGGAAGGGAGTGCTTTCATCTCCAGGTTGAGATGTGTCTGGGCAACCTACCTGATTTCCACTGTACTTCCCAGGAACCTGAGGCAAAACAAATAGCCACATTCCAGTTTTCCCAACACACAGCTGGGATCTCGACCACATACATTTTTCCTCCCTCCCTTTGAAAATGTTGGCAAAAAAATTGAAAAATTAGGCTCTTTTTCAATCAAATAGGCACACTGCTTGTGTGTTGCTTATATCTCTGGTGCAGTGCCTAGACATAAGCAACAATTAGCTTTATTTTGTATAATATAATGATCATCTAGGATGGAAGAAAGGATTAAAGCACTAAATACAATGGATATCAAGAGTGTTACAGTTTACTTCCTGTGCATTGCACATACCATACTATTGGAGGCAGACCAAAACCAGACCTGAGCGAATCTGAGAACAAAAAGGCCATCAGGCAGGGGGGGACAGGAATAGCTTCCTTCCTTGATCTCAACCCCCTCCCTAACATCTGCAGCCTGCTGGTTTCTCCAAGTGAGACAGAAATCAGTGGATTAAGAGACAAATGTGACTTTTCATTGTAAACTTTACATGACAAAACCCTGGATAATGTTATTTTATATAATTGGTCATAAACTCTTAGTTACTTGAGGTTTGAGATTTTAATTTTTACTGTCAACTTACTTTTCAATGCAAAAATAATTTGCAACCCTCCGCTGCACCCCCCCTAATTATTTTCCACAACAAAGTGTTTGTTTCTGAAAGTCCCAGATAATGACTCATACTGCGTTTAAAAAAAAGGAGAAGCAGCGTATTTTAGAATTTATTAACAATATTCTCTCACAGCCAGATGTTCCCCTTCATTGCACAGCATGAAAAGGTGAAAAAGAGCAGAAAAACTGTAGTAAGAAAGATGGAAAAAACCAGCAAGGGTCAAAAGGATCAAGAGAAACTTGTCAGGCTGCAATATTACACCTAACTTTGGAATTGCCTGCGTGTTGTGCAGAGAGCGTGGAGCTGAGGGTCTCTTTGTGGAGTTCCAGGTCACTAGGAAGTGAAGTCATGGAGCAAGTGCATGAAGCATGTGCATCCCTAAGAAAGGTCTCAAATTTTTATTCACAAAACCTCAATAGAATGGAAGAAACAAAAGTAAATCTGACATTAAACTAGTTTTAGTGAGTTATTGGGTCAAGATGCTCCAGGAAGCACAGTTGAGGGAAATGGGTGGAAATCAAGACACGTTAGAACACGTTTCTTATTCTGCAGTCTTGGTTTTTCACTGAGCTCGTTTGATTCAAATGTTGTTTATAAAGTATTTTACAGATGGATGCGCTCTTTATCCAAAATGCAAACTGCTTAGCCAGATGGCCTCACATCTGGATTAGTCTGCAGCGCAAAACAGAAAAGAGTGGTTGCGTTTTTAAGCAGCTGCTATCTGTAGCGAACCTAAAATGGGTGATGATCACCAAAGACATTTATATCAATATAATTTGCGAATGGTATTTATTTCTCTACTTCTGACAAGCCGTTGCGTTCTGGTGGAAACATTTCAGGGTGTTTGGGTGTCTGATTTTCTTTATCACGATCGCAATGGAAACTTATTGCCTGATTGCATGCACTGGTATTGGGAAACCCAAACCCAGTTAAAAACAGAATAGGTATTTAATGAGAAAACTAAGTAACACAAGTTCTCACGCAAACTGATAATGAGCTGAAGCCCCTTATCCAGAATCTTGTCTCAGACTAAAAGGAAGATTGAAGCTTTTAAGAAGACAGTATTCCAAAAATACCTTCTGTGTGCCACCCTTCCTTGCCTTCATCCCTGTTGATAATTAACTGAATTAATTTCATTTCATAGGGAAAAGAAACAAATCAATCCCCCAGCCTAACTGGGCAGCACTGTTCTGCAAGCTTTGTATCGGCAGGTTTACAGTATGTTTACACAGGTTGTGTTCTTTCAGCAGCTATTTATATTTTTGGCACAAACCGCCTTTCATCCACATATAAATTATCATTTTTTTTTCCTTTTTCCTTTCTCTTATAATTTATTCGGTTGGTTTGTAGTCATTCTTGGAAGCGGTATGACTTTATCTTGGAATGCATTGTACTGCCATAACTTTAATGTGGACAAATCCATTAGCTGTCTTCAGAGAGTTCCCATCCTTCAAGGAACACAAAATAAATGGCCTTAGATTTGGATCAGGCAACTTGTTCCTGTTGCTTCATGGATAGAGATGGCCTGAAGAGGCTTCACTGAGCCCAAAACATTTTCTGGAAAGGACTTGGGTTCCATTTCTCTGTCTCCAGGGCCGGTTTCGGGGCTGGTGGAAAATCCACTGCTGATGCCCCTGACTGAGGAGCAGCCAGCCCACTGTGCTGGTCATCAGGGCTCCTTGTATTCATCTCTGGGGCAGATCCCCTGCCGCGCCAGGGCTCTTGGGCTGCTTTGGGGTTATGGGACAGGAACACTCTCCCTGCAGTCTGATTGCCAAAGTGGACAACCTCTTGTGCTCACAGGTCCTGAAGTATAGACCATAGCCCTGACACTTGACGTCCTGAAACTGTCATCAGAGCTTTGCTTTCAGTGCTGTGGTAGGAAAACTGGAAGTGATGACAACCTGGCCAGCTCAGGTTGTATCAGCTGGGAAAGGTGGGAGTCTCCATGATTGTGGTCCCTCCTCCTGCTCAGCCTCCTTGTGCTGGCAGAAGAGAGGACACGTATTCTAGTAAAATGGTACTTGTCAATCCTAACCAATGCTACTGGGGAATCCTCGCTGAGTTACAACAAATCCCTGTTAACCAGTGGTGAATAAGCCCCAACATACCTGCCTTGGGTTTTGCACAAGATCAACTGGACCAGTATACTCTCTTTTTTTTTTTTTTTTAAAGTCAGGACCATTTTCCAGCTTGCATAAAAATTTCCCAAGTCTTGTTCGTGCTACTGGAGTGTGACTCGTGCGTAGCACCGGCCGTCAGTTGTTGATCTTCTCCTTTTCTCCTGGCAGGTACAGGAGCTGCTGGGCTGCTCTTCACTAAGCCATTCACCGCCGTGGCAGAGAGGAGGCGGCCGTAGGAGCAGCAGAGTGCCGAGAGAAAGCTTTCAGCAGCCTGGAGGTTTTTTGCCCTCCCCCATCTTCAAGGTTTTTACATCTGCTCCCATAGTCACCAAAGAGAGAAAGACATATACACCTCATATACCAACCCACAACAAAACCCACACAGGCAGCGCTGAGGAGCTCTCACCAGGAAGCTGACTTACCCTAAACCACGCCGCTGTTTCTCGTCACACTACATCTGGGTCTGCTCTCACTGCTGCCTCCGGATGAGCTAGACCCGGTTGCCAGGGCTAATTTGGTCTGTACGTGCAGTGGTCTCTGGCTACTTCTTGAGGCTTGGTGGTTTGTTTTTTTTTTTTTCTCTCAATAATATCATTGTTCTAATCTGCTAAAATAGAAGTCCATCTGAAAAAGCCAAGAGAACGGAACGCCACTCTTCCATTTTTCTTCCCCTGTCTCGTCTAGAATAGTTGACTTCCGAAACGTTTGTTTCCAACAACCACTTTCAGCTTCCTGTGTCTGGTGAGTTCTTTGTGTTTCTTTTTTAATTATTTTTTAAAATATCTTAAAGTGAATTGGTATTCTGAATCAAATTCACTATCTTTAGTTTTAGTTTTATTAATAAGTTTGTGAAATGGATTCACATAATTGGTTTTACTTTTAATGCCACCTGTTAATTACTCACTACTGAGATACCCTGCTAAACAGTGGTCTAGTCCTGCCCCAAATTGTGCATCTTTTGGATTTTCATTTGTTCCATATTTTGTCTCCACTTCAGCGTAAAAAGGCCTTGTATAAAAGTAGAAAAAGGGGTGTGATGGGCTGTGCCACGCCGGTATTTTCCACATTAACTGATATAAGAAAAAAGAGAATAAACAGAAATTACTCTAAGAACGGTGGGCTTGATTTTGATCCCCTTTGCTGTTGTATGAACTATGAACCCAGGAGAGATGGGCATGTTTAAATCTGCAACACCTCAAAGGATGGCTTTCTTCCCCATTTGTGAAGTACGTCATGGTTATGAGAAAACTGTTCTGCTTCATCTTAAATGTTCCCAAGCAAATTTAGGTGAAGATTTTATTGTGAGAATTTGAGAAAGGTGAAATTTAGGTTCTTAGGACTGTGAAGTTCTTAGGAAGTGAGACTCAAAGTATTTTTAATTTGTCACTGGCTATGGTTCCAGCGGCTGTCTGGCCCTGCTGTGTGTAACAAGCACCTCTGCCACCTTCTGAGATGGAAGAGTTTCCTTTGCTGTCTAAATGGCCGCAGCTGTAACTTTGCTTTCATCTCACCCCCACCACTTCTTCTCCTCTGCTTTCTGAGCCAACCGTGGCACGCTCGTGGTGTGGGATTCCCGTAGAGAGCAGTATGTGTGTGTGTACATGTGTGCACATCTGTGCACACCCATTTCTAGATTCTGCTCACAAAAGCTGCATCTTATGATGCTCTAGTGCTGGTGGGATGGTCTTGTCACATTGCCAATGAGAGGCAGTTAATCTAAAAGGTGAATGAGGAGGAAGCACACAGAGGCCGGAACCATCCCTCTGACACAGGTCCCTGCAAAAAAAATCTGAATGTGGCTTTAAGATTTTAAAACTTCTTCTTTCAGCCGTGGTTCCACCTTTGGATGGTGCAGGAGTGGGGCTGTGGCATCCGGAGGAGGCCAACTTTAACACAGGATTTATCCTGAAGAAAATACTTACTGAGGAAAAAGGTAGGATGAATGAGGTTAGATACCCGCTAGCAAGCAGATCTGTCAGCATTTTTTTGGTGTTGTGCACGCCAGTCTGCTCTTGCTGTCGGAATAAGGTGGGATTGTGCATGGCATTGTGCTGCTTTGTATTTCACATTTCCAAAACCCACCATTTAGAATCTGTGGATGTTTATAAATGTTCCAGTAGAAAAGACCATACGTGTATACTTACTTTATTTTAGAATGGTATTTAACCTCATTTTTCTAAGACAGCTCTGAAGATGTATCATACAAGTGAAGTCAAATTTACCAGAAAAAGTGTGTACAGACTTGATGTGAATACTGTGTTTGAGACTTGGACAGTAACCACAGGGTAGAAAAGGCCCACGTGTACTTGCTTCCTGCTAAATTGCGAGAGTAGACCTTGGTGAGGCAGAATACCAAGCTTTATGTCCCCTAGATTAGATGCTACAAACCGGGAAAAATAGTAGGTTTGTATTTATAGAGATCCTGTGTTTTTCGAAGTATTCTCTACTTGCTATCTGAGTTCCAGAGTATAAAATTAAAATTTTAAAAATGGACTTGATTCCCATGTGTAGCGAGGCACAAACTTGTAGTCCATCGGCAGGGAAAAGTAGCTGTAAATTCCTGTCATTTAAACCCATCTTAAGGGAATTTTACCATGCCAAAGCACCAGGGCTCATGTGTTTGACTATATCCAAAGACAGTCCCTTTATCTACATGCGGCACAGGAAAACCAGGAAGCAGGAGCTATACTTCCAGAAAGTTGCTAAAAATACCTTTCCAGCCTGGTGACCAGCTTTCTTAAGAAAATGTTTATATGTAGAAGGTTAACCAATTCTGGCTCAGCTGCCTCATTGGGAGTGTGAATTTGGGGATGAAATGAAAGCACTCTCCCTGCTGCATAAACCCAGCAATTGAGAGACTGGTGCCAAAGTCCCATCAGCCGGTCACAGCTGCCAGCATCAGCGAGATCAGGGAGGCAAGCTCTTGTACAGGGAGGGGCAGGCCATCTAAATCCTTAAAGATGTAAAGTGGACGCTTTGCGGTACAGCCAGAGCACACAGGAAACAAGCAGAATTTGTGGTGGCAGCCTTGCAGGCTGCACCTCTGGCCCGTCTTGTAGAGCACCAGGGCTGCACCAGCGGAAGCTCCCGAGGAGCTTTTCTCGGTGACACTTTCTGATGACCAGCCAGGAGAATGCCCAGGCAGGGGGATGAAATTCTGCTGTTTCTCCTCTTGCTTTTGGGGTTGCAGCAGCTGGGTTAGGAGCTTTTAAATTAAAAAGATTTTCAATGAAAAACACGTCTTCTCTCTAAAGCAAACACCCCCCATTTTCCTTGTAAAATGTTGGTGCTATGATTCTATAGTTTTCATTAAGAACCAGTTGATTACTGAATGCATCATTCAAGTGGTTAATTCAATTTGGCATTGACCATACAAAGAAAAATGGCAGATTTTTTTAATACTGCTTTTGATTATGGCTTGAAAAGAAATAAAAGAAGTAACTTGCCTTTTTCAAAGACTTAGTATGACACTTAAGGCATCACGCTACGCAGCTTAACATCATTTCCAAATTAGGTTGTCACTTTTTGGTCAGTGGTATGTGGTTATATTAAATCAGCAGTTTTCAAATGTTTCCATGCTCTGCGTACAGCTTACAGCTGAAAAATGGGATAACCCCAGCGTGGTAATTAAGAAAGGAAGTTGGCTGCAGCTGTCTCAAGCCCACTATCAAAGCATTACAGCTTTAAAATACAGGACAGGATTACAGAGGTAAAACAAAGCGATGTTTACAACAAAATTTGTGGGCTGAAGAGCTCACCATTAGCTCTTCTCCACAAAAATGAACACAGCTTCATATATACTTAGCAGAATCTAGTTATGCTTCAATTCTTACGTCAGTGAAGAACTGGAAAACCTTCCTAATCCACCAAAAGCGTCGGTCTGCAGTGGAAGGGGAGATACTTGGAGCCAGCACAACCTCTGTAATGCAGCAGTGAGCGTAAGTGCTGGAAGTTGCGGGTACAGACCCTTGGTGCATTGGGTCTGAAATGAGCAGCTGCCAAAGCAGCCAGCAGGCCACGTTCTGCAGGAGGCTGTGTCAGAGGGTGGCTGTCACTGCTGGCGTGGCAGCTGGAGGAGAGCTGGGAACACGGTCTGAACACTTGCTGCCTGCGTGTGCTCCTCCCAGGGCAGGTGTGGGAGCATTTTCTTGTGCCCAGGCCCACAAGAAAATGGCTGTGCCCTGTGCTTGTTGCAGATTCTTTGATCTTTCCCACCCTGCACAATCGCTTGCTGCCGTGTCTGTGTCGTATTTCTTTTGTGCAAGGAATCACAATGAGTCTTTGGTTACAGAGGCCAAGGAGGGGTGCAAATTGTAAATTGTTAAGGGATGAGGATGGGGCTGAGCTTGGCATGCTTGTCTTTACCTGTCGAAATGTACGAACCTGCTGGAAACCACACGTGGGTTCTGCTATGGTTTGGGGGTTTCCCCAACGGGGGTATGTGGTGATCTATTGCATAGGAAAGACCCAGCATGTGCCGGAAAGGGAACGAACACCTCTCCTGGCAGAAGCCGGCACGAAGGGCTGTGGTAATGTACTGTAACAAGCGTGAGCGTGGAGTACCAGTCCTAATAGCTGACACTCGCTCGGCTGTTGTACCGTCTGGTGATATCTCTTTTCCTCAGGAGTGACAGTGAGTTACTTCTGAAGGTTTATGTTTATGTCAACCTACAGATAAGACTGGCTCTCCTAATATAAAAGCGTGAGACCAAGACCCCTACATAGTTAGGGGTCTGTTTTTGTCACCCCCTGTGCACACAGTCATTGAAAACTGTTCTTTCCTTTTGTTGAGAGGCATCCAAATGGACACACAGTTTTCAGCTTGCCTTCTTTTTTCATTAAATGACTGTGTTTAAAAACGGGTAAAGTCTTTAGAGTTCAAAGTTATTGAATTAATGACATACTGAATTACCTACTAACTTCCTCTCATTGCAAAAATATATTCTAAAGCATCTGTCTTAAAACCCTCTCCTGGATTTCTTTTGCTTCCATCAATTCAAATGCAGGTTTTTAAATTCATGTGTTGTTCGGTGGAATTTTAATTCTGGATGAAAAGCCATTGGGTAAAATGTCTCTGAGTTTGAATCAAGTCCACCAGGATTCAAAAATAAAGCACGGGAAATGTTCTCATAATGTTCAAACATAGCTCTCCTAAAATAGCTCTCTTTTCATATGTGTGATCTTTTTCATGCAAAATATGTAAAAATCAAGAATATCAAGGAAAACTTTCTATGCTTTCCACTGAAACCCAGAAATTCTGCATTAAGATTTATCGTAGTGTGGGGATTTGCATGATCTTTAAACCAACGGAAAGCCAAATAGATGTCAGCTTTAAGTATCTGAAATGGCTTCTCAAAATACTCAGCTGAAGAATGAGTGAGAAGGATTTATGTATTATGTTTGGTGGTAAAGAGCAGAGGCTTTTCTTCGCTTAACTTATTCCATATGAGCCAGTGATGTCTGCAGTATTATATGTTTTGTATGAAAGTGACAAGAGATTAAGGTTATACTGGAACAGGAAGAAAGTAAAGAAAAACAGGCCCTGAAATATATATTCTGCTCTGGCATATGGTTAGTGTAAGATATAAATCAATGTAAAATCTGAACTACCAGGTATAACTTATGCTAATTCCAGAAAAAAAAAAGAAATCTTCACAGCATGTTCATTTGAAATTGGGCTTTAATCATAACTGTGCATAGGACGTAGGCAATTTGATGTAGGCAAGTAGGCATGCCCATTTATTGTGTTTAATTTAATTTACTACAATTAAGGAACTCTAGGGAGGCTACATAGTCAATACTAATATTTTCCTACCTGTCCTGTGATACATATTAACTCCTATTTTATCCTTGTACTGGGTATAATGCATGAATACTGAGTTGTGGGATAGATTGTGGAAGGCAACTCCTTTTTTAGTTTATAAAACAAATTACAAGATAAAGACCTTAAATCAACAAACACAGGAAAAGATATGATAATTGTACATTTTGTATTGCACCTTCTACTTGCAAACTGATTGAAATTGTTTCCAACCAAGCCCTCAAAATTTTCAACATTTTAATGTACATGCATGCAGACAGAAAATTTAAGAATGAACTTAAATAGTCAACAGTTTCCCTCTGGCTGAAATCTGGACTATGATTTTAAACAGTCTAATATATACAGACACAAGAAAAAGCCTTTTGTTGCTAACAATTCTAAAGGGAAAAGCTGAAATGGTCAGTCAGTTTCTCAGTGTAATAAAATAAATAACCAACCAAATTACTGTTGCTTACTTTACTAGCTTTGGTCATTAACTTGAGAAGTTTAACATTCATGACAGCAAAACTGAAGTGACATGCAATAAATATGCTTTCTTCCCAAAGAAAAAAAAAAATCAATATGTTTTAGCAAGAAGTCATTATTCTGAATTGTTTGATCAACTGAAGCATCATTATTTGCTGTTCAAAACACCTATACATCTAGTACATTTTATTCTTATGACAAAATATGCAAAAATAATCTTCCATCAAACATTGGGTAATTCTGTTCTAACTAATATTTTCCTCCTTCACCTTTACCTCACCCTGAAATCAAACTCATGCAAATATATAACTTAATAAACATGGAGAACCTCCTTCTCCTCACCCTGAGGTTAGGGGCTGAAGATCTGGGCTTTAGAGTCTCCTTATTTTATTTTATAAAACCAGAACAAAGTTAAATCTGAATAGAACTCTGAAAGTAACCTCGGAGATCTTGCGAGGGATCTGTGGGGGGCAGTGGAGAAATGGTAGGACAATTTTTTTAAGACTTTTAAACATCAATTAGGATGTTACATCACCTGCATCGTTCATCTATTAGCTATACTGTTAATATTGATGACTTGTTAGTGTTTAAGAGACCCAGTCAAGAGGATGAGGTACTGTGCAGACAAGGGAGAGGAGCACAAACGC